ATTTTTTATTTTATTTTTTTTTTTTGGCAGTCGCTTATCAAACAGAGAGCTATAAAACTGCCAACGGCAATGTCATGTATGTGTGCGAATCTAATCTGTAAACGCTTCAATTGAGCTCGCATCTTCAAAGGATTATGGACAAGGGCAAGAAACAGACGCGTAGCCTTACATCGTTCGTCTTCTCACAATAAATATCTGAGTGTGCGTTATTTTTCTCATATTCATTTAGACTGTGCTCCACTGTCTGGGTGGGCGGCGCACTTATCGACACTCGGTAAACTTGAAATTGAACGAAAGTAAATATTTTTGCAGTTGCAGTGGAAAAACAGCAGGCATGCCTAATAAAAAGCATTTTCACAGTTGTTGCATCGCCCACACAGCCAACCGCAAACACCCACGCACACACATCCACACACCCACGCACACACAGATACTGAGGCTGATGTGGTTTGCAGCAGCATGCAAAAATATTTGCGCTTGGCTGACGGCGGCTGCTGCTGCACGAGTGCTGCAGCGGAAACGGAAACATGACACCTGCGCAGCCACACACACACACACACATGCAACCTGCAAGCCGCAGCAATGCAGCAAACAAACAGACAAACAAACCGAGTCGAGATAAACAGGAACTTATTATGCGAGGGCATGCAAAATTGCAAGTTGCAAGGGCCACCGTTCGGGGTTTGCCATGTCACTTACTACTCTCTCTCTCACACTGTGTGTGTGGGTGTGTGTGTGTGTGTTTGCTTGTGCTTTATCTGCAATTACAATGACAACAGGGGAGCAGCTAGTAGCTTGAAGCTCCACTCACGCTTTGCATATATTGTTATGGCTGGCAATTGCCACTGACCACGGTCTATTGCCACGACCCCTGCACAGCTAATGTGTCAACGTGCCATGGCACAGGCAAATGAGCGGCTTGTTTGCATTGGCGTCGCAATTCACGTTCTTCACACCTTGACCTCAGCAACAGCAACAGCAGCGGCAGCGGCAGCAGCAGTGACAGCAGAGTGAAATAAAAACAAAAACAGACACAAACAAACAAACAACAAAAGTGTGGCCTGTTTTTAGGAATTGCGAGACTCTAAGTCTGGCTGCGTCCCCCAAACAACCGAAAACCCGAAACCCAAAGCACAGCAACAAGCCGCAACCTCCGAACGTCTGACTGCTGGCTGAGGCCGAGGTCGCACAAATAGCTTTGTTATGCTCGCAAATAATTTAGACATTTTGTGTGAATATTTTTGGCTGCTTTTTGCTTGCTAACTGATAATAAAACGCAGGCACACACACACACACACACACACACAGTGCTATACATTCCTCTCTGTGTGTCACATGGGGCAAGTGGAAAACTAAATTCTGAGCCAAACAAACGCCACATGAATATATATTCAAATTAATGCATTTCGTCAGCTCTGGCTACTCACAACTGGCAACTGCCAACTGGCAACTGGCAAATGGCAGCTGAGAGATGGAGAGCTATGAAAATTCCCAAGTCTGAGAATGAAAGTGCGCTCGAGCGTAACAGCAATGGCCACGAATTTAATGCAACTCGCATAACTAACAGCCAGAAGCTCAAGAAAATGCAGAAAGAACAAAAAAATAAATGAAAAAAGAAATTGCATTTCATATGAACAGACAGCTCCAATGCCAGCTCGAGCAGGTACCAGAGTCGGACGCATCACAGCTTCAGCTCTTTCGTGAACTGATCTGGATCTGTCGTGTCATAAAACTATGCAAATCCATGTAAAGCATTCGAAGTGCCATTTTCCTCCCCTTTGTTCCAGCAGCCGTCACAAAATATGAAATAGAAAAAAGTTTCCATATTTTCTGCATATGGAAATCGCACTTTAACATTTGATATATGCTGTCATTTTGAGTGAATTATAAATCTATTCCTAAACCTAAAAGCTTAATATATATATATATGAAAGTTGTGCAGCGCTGACCAAGCTATAGCAAAAGATATATCAATAGCGCAGAAAATGACGTGACGTGACGTGACGTGACGCTTTTGTAACCATGCAAAATAGTTTTGTGCAAATAAATGTGACAAGCAGAAGCAGGCGTGGCAGACCGCTTAGATTATATATTTATATATATTCCTGATTAGGACAACGAGCTGAGTCGATTTCCGTCTGAACGCAGCAATTTCATAAGCTGCAAAAGCTATAGACTCATACGCATATGCAGAACTAGCTTCTCATTTTTTCGATAACTTACCGATAAAAATCGATCAATTGACATATTTGTTTAGTGCAGTTGCCTTTGATGAATACAAAGAATTTTTAAGTTTCGGATTTTGGATGTTGGTTACCTATGGCAATGTCTAGCTCTATTGATTGTTTTGCTCATTGTTTGGCTCTGATTTCCTCACTTAATGTCAATTGCCGCCTGGTCTACTTTTTAACTGCAGCCATTTTAATGACCAACAATAACAAGCCAGCATTTTTGGGCTCCCTTTGAAGGACAAATCGTACAGAACATTTCACGAACTTGATATTTGTATTAATTAAAATAGCTACTGAAATATAGTTAACAAAAATAATATTACTCTTGTTGGGTCTCTACAATATACCTAAAGGGAACTAAAGAGCTCTGTCACTCACTCCATCTCTCTAGCCCTCTCTCTGTCTCTCTCTCTCTCTTTCTCTCTCTTTCCCTCTCTCTCTCCGCACTTTAGGCATTTTCGATGCCCATGAGATTCCCCAATGTGAGCCCAAGTGGGAATTTTAAAAAGTCACAGCAATATTTGCCACATGTATATATATATATGTGTATATATATTGATATGACTTTTTAAAATACATATATCTATATATATATATTTATTTTTATACATTCATTTTCTAGCAGAAAAGAGAGGGAAAATGCATATAAAACTAAGAATTTTTCATGAGTGTGTGTGTGTGTGTGTGTGTTCTGCCCACGGGCAAGCATATGAAAATTAAAAACATAGCACACTGCCAAATACCCGGCAAGCTAATAATTTTCTCAGCGATTTATATGAAAATGCAGAGATTGAAATTTTCGATTGGGTCTGAGCAAGTTTTAGGAACAGCCTAATATATATATAAATATATATATATCAATGTGCATGGCGAATTGCCCAAATTGTTTGTCAACATATGTATAGAGGGGGCGAGAGATATGTGCAGAGCATACACCCAGGCAAGTCTAACTTCAGGCAGCCAGCGGAGTCAAGCGGAGCCCGCCGCATTCGCGCCGTTTGTTTGTGCTAAATATGGGCGTAGCTAACAAATAGTTGATGTGCTGCCCCCAGGCAAACTCATCTGCCTTTGCCGTCGCTGCCTGTACTACTCCACTCTTTCGCCAACGCCTTCCGGCCTTCCGGCTGTCTGCCACAATTCAGTCGCAGCGCATGTTTCATGCATTTTTAAACAGCCATTTGTCAAGCGCGTGAAAAGTGTTGCCTGCTTTTAGGCGGCACACCCACACACATACAATGGGCTGCCTGCAGCTGCTGCCTGTGTATATGTATGTGTGTGTACTTATGAGTTGAGTAAAACTTTTAATTAACCAAAATTGAGGCTCCACACAGCAGCCACAAAGACGTTTTTTTTTTGTTAGGAAAAAGCCAAAAAGGGGCATTTACCTTGCTGGCTCCAAAGTCACTCTCACCTGCTCAAAAGTTGCAGCATCTTTGCCAAGCACACACACAGCCTATCAAAGAAGAAAAGAACTCTAAAAAGAAGGAAAAAAAACTACATGAAAAGCCTGAAAAAGTTTGCGCTGCGACAGGCCGAGTGCTTAAGGAAGTTGCAAGTCAATTCAGCGACTCAAAAGATCAAAATCTCGCCAACTTCTACACGCCACATAGAAGTGTAGGCAAACGAGCTGCCAGGTAGTCAACAGAACATGCCACAGACGTGCACTGATAAGAAAATTCCTCACGAAATCTACCTGCGGCTAATGACACAAATTTAACACAAAAATGCACAAATTTGGCCAACTGACAAAAGCTGCCACGCAGCAGCAGCTGTAACTTTCTTTCTTATCTGTCATCGGACATGCTTCAATTTCAGAATCTCATGTCGAGAGTGCCAAAGATGCTGGGCATAATGTAGGAAAGATAGTGAAATGTCGAAGCGCTAAGTGTGGCTATAGGTGAGAGAGCGAAAGAGGGTCAAGAAAAGGCTATATTTGTGAGCAAGAGAGAGAGAGAGAACACTGAGAGAGCTTTATGTGTGAGACAAAGAAAAGAAAGGAACTCTATCTCGGATAAAGAGAGCAACGAAAAGACTTTGTAAGGCAGAGAAGAAAGCATGGACTATAATTGTGAGAGGAAGAGGGAGAAAAGGCAATGAAGGAGCATTAATTGTGGCAAAGGGGGATAAGAGCGGGCTCTATTTATGAGAAAGAGAGAGATAACAATAAATGAGCTCTTGTTGTGTGAAAGAAGTATAAGCGAGTGCTTTATTTGTGAGAAGGGCGGAGAGAGAGACAGAATATTAAATGAACATTGTGTGAAAGAGGAAGAAGAAAATGAAGGAAGGACTGCCTAGAAAAAAGAAGAGCAAGATAGGGCTCTTTTTCTCAATTGTCTCTCTAAACTTGATTGCAATTGAGATAATTTGTGAGCAATGAAGCTGATCAGAGTTCATAGAATAATTTATACAAATTCAAGTTGATTGAGGCATATGTAACAACGTCGTAAGCTTAAGCCAGAAAGCTTCAAGAATTTCACACGAGCCAATTCAATACATCTCTAGAGCATAAGAACTATGTCTCGCTCTGCCCCTCGCTCCCTCTCTCTCTCTCTCTTTATTGTCTACGCTGTAAACTGCTCCCAAGTTGAGTTCTTATTAAGATTACTGTTTTCACTTTTGCTTGTAGCTGAATAACTTTTTGTATTATAATAACTATTCCACAGCTTTTGCTTGATAAATACCAATTCACTCATGCATCGCTTTCACTTTTTCTCTTTTCTCACTTTCCGTTTTTTTCTTGTGCTTTGCGGTCTATCGATGAATTTGCAGATTCCGAACTAGAAGAATTCGAGACGCCGGCTCGCTACAGACCAGACTCGCTGAGCGCCCTGAGCCGGGCCACCCGCTTCACAGAGGACGAGATCAAACGAATTTATCGGGGTTTTAAGGCTGAATGCCCCACGGGCGTGGTCAAGGAGGACACCTTCAAAGTGATCTATTCGCAGTTCTTTCCACAGGGAGGTTCGTGCGGTACAGTATAATTGGTTTCGTTAACATTTGTGCCTTGAACTAGTGCATTACTAACGCTTGCCCATTCTCCTTTCAACCACTCCAAACATCATCGCATTCATCGCATTTGCCTCTAGCTCAGATTGCGATCGCATTTGCCAGCTTGCAAACACGCTCAACAAAAAATAAATCAACTATATTTTTTTATTTATATATATATATATATATATTTATGTTTGTATGTATATGTGTTAGCTTTGAGTTTATATTCTGTGTTGTGTTGTTAAGCATCATTTTTAGTTAAAACCAATGACAATGATTTAGCTGACAGAAAAGCGGCAACACTGACTAAAAAATATCCTGCACTCAGCTAATTTTAGTCACAAAAAGACCTGGTTGACCTCCTTTAAATAGAAATATTAAGCTAAACTAGTCTAGCCAGATTTATTCATTTACCCATCATACAGTTTTTACTCTAAGTTACTTCATTTTTCATTTAACTTGACTGAAATACCAGAGCAGTAAATTTCAAATGTCTTCCCAATGCATTTCAAAATTGAGTAGATTGAGTTGTTTACACATTTGATTATCATAACTCAGATTGACATTGAAAGTCAGTCATTTGCTGTAGTGTGCCGAGGTCAGGGTATCTGCTAGTCGAGCACACCGCGCAGTCGCTTTCATATGCCGTTCGTAATCACATCAACGCTCCATTGAAGTCTGGACAAATAAACGCTCTGAATGGAGCAGCATCTTGATCTGTTTTGAATGCCAAACTGGACGCAACAAGACCCTTGACATGGCCATTAGTGCTCGGACTGAGCCATAAATTTGGCAATTGGCTCACTTGATTCTTATTGTTATCTATTATCAGGCCAATGGGTTCGGCTGGCCCGCATTCAAATGAAGCCAGCAATTGGCTGAATGGCAGCTATTGCCAATTGCCATTGCCGGTTTTATCGGCATTTGAGGCTGGCCATTGGACAGACAGCCGGCATGTGCTCGAACGCATTATCGTTAATATTGGCTCTTTTGTCTCTTGCGCCATGAACACAACAAAGGCCGCCGGACTCGAAATGGGGCAGGCATTTACGTGTTGCTGCACATGATGATGAACACGACCGTCCCGCTAGCAGTTGGGCGCGCACTCACTGTACTTTTGCCCGGCCCAAAAGCCGAATGTTAAATCCCCGCCCCAGTCGCAGCGTATTCAAGCGGATAGCAGCGCGTACCCTTGGCTTGTGCAAGCTGAAATGTTGAGAGCGCAAATTAGCAAATGTATAAAAAGCAAAATCATGTTTCACAAGTCGCGACTGGAAGGGGCTGGGGCAGCAGCCTTCTCAGGCTGAGGCTGAGCTTGGGCCTGGGACTGGGACTGTGACTGGGCCAGGGCCCGGGCCCGGGCCCGGGCCCGAACCGGCCAAGGCAGCAGCCATTCAAGTTTAACCCAATCCACCCACTTGACCTCTTTTGAATAACAAGTAAATTTGCTCATTTACTTTGTGGCGCGCGGCTGCTAAAACATAAATTAAAGCCTTGGCCACAAAAACCATTTCTGGCCGCGCCGCGTCAAATTGAGGCGTGGCTAATGAGCTGCTAGACACCAAAGCAGCTAACTATGCCGACTGACTCACTGACTGATTGACAAAGGGCCCACACGCCCCAACCTGGGCTGGCATATTCTTAAAGAGATGAAATTCAGAGCTTTAAACACGATGAGGCTGCCGGCTGAACTGAACTGCTTCGTCTTCATCTGTCTGCCTTAAATGTAGTTATAATCCAAAATATAAATTATTGATATCGCTTGATAGCATTGCTGCTAGAAGCAAATCAGTTCAAAGCGAACGTCGCCTAGTTAGTCAAAAGGAAAACTCGACTCGGCTGCAACATGTGCTCAGTCTGTAAAAACTATGAATCACTATGACAGGATGCTGTCTACTGCGACGTCTCCTAACAAATTCCGCTTAAAATACATGAGTGTATAGCTTCTGCTTCCTCTTCGGTCTGCTGCTGTCGTTGTCGTTGTTGTTGTTGTTGTTGTTGTTGTCTGCAGTGAGACGACCAACGTCATGGCGCAATCCCCTCCGGTCACAGCGAAGCTTCTAAGCAAAGAAATATTGCTACACATGTTTCGCACTAAATTATTATAATAAACTTATTCGGCTTTCCTTTGAGCGAGCGACGGAGAGTGAGAGAGTGAAGGAAGCCAACTTGAGCCCAAACAAAAAAGAAAACAAGGAACATGGTAATGGCCTTGAGCTGGCAGCGCAAGCTTCAGGAGTGGGTGAAGCAAGTGGGGGGCGGTTAGCGGTAAGCTGACACAACAAGCATCGACAGAGACAGGCGGAAACGCTTGTAAAACGGCAAAGCGGGAGTGAGCACAAGATATGCTGCGCCTTGGCAATCTGATGAAAAATAAATAATGAAATCATTTTTTATTTTGATAAGCCGCTTTGCCACTCCGCCGAACTCCGCTGCGGCCCACGCGATGTGCCTAATACGAGGCGACAGTTCAGCCAAACAAAAAATTAAAGAAGAGGCAGCAGCAGCCGAGACATGAAAAGACAAAAAAATTATCATCAAAGTTGGTGATTTATCACTTTTGGTCCCAGCTCCAGCTGCAGCGCTGACGCCGCTGCCTGTGCCCTAGCCGTGCCGCCTCATGTCCTTTTCGTTGTTTTCCGTGTGCTTTTCCTTTCGCATCATGTTGCGAATTTTCAGCGCAAATTTCATAACAATTTTTACATGACACATTTGCAGTCATTTTGATTTGGCTAAGGGAAAAACATTTTCGACAGCCGCAGCACGAGCAGATGCTGTCTTTGCCTTTGAGCTTTGACCTTGATGAGTGGTGGCGGGCTGCTGGGTGGGCGTGTCGCTGCGTCATGCGTCATAAAAACACATTAAGTATCAAACGGCGACAATAAACTTTGACAAATACATTTTTGGAGCAGCACTCGCTTTCGCCTCTGCCCACGCCCAGTCCACGCTTCGGGCACACATAAAGGCGCTAAACCACATAGGGCAAGCGCACATCAATAAAATTGCTCTTTGCCACACATTCGGCCAAGATGCCGAGGCGAGGCGAGGCGGTAGCCATTTTATGAACTGCATTGCTCTGCTGCTCCTACTCGAAAAGAGGTGTAAACATTGTGCGCCCATAAAGCGCACGATTCGAACTTGAGTTGCAGCTGCAGCAGCGCAAGTGAAGCTCAAGCTGTAGCTGCCACTGGAACTGGAAGTGTAACATGGAATTGGAACTGGAACTGTAGCAACCACAAGCCATCAAGTCATAATCATAAAAGCACCAAGTACAAATGAGCGGCTGCTCGGCAATAATCTAAATGTAATGTGATGGCCAGATAAGGATATTTGCACCAAGTGCCCGTCGGTGGTTGTGCCTCGCCTCGCCTCTTGAAGGCAGTAAAACTGACTTCTGAGCGTGCCTGGAGCGTACTTTTTACTGAGCGCAACTCTGCTGTGCGTAGTTGTCACAGTGAAGACTATGAAATACCCTGTAAATAGTTTTTGGCTTAACTTATAACTTTTGAGTCAGTCAAATAAGTTAGTCAATCAGTCAGTCACTCAATCCATCAGTCAGCAGATCAGTAAATCAGTCACTGAATCAGTCAATCAGTCAGTCAATCATTTAATCAGTCAATTCAGTCGGGCAGAGCACCAGTCAATCCGTCCATCAGTCAACAAGTCCATCAGTCGATAACTCAGTCCATCACTCAGTTAGTCAATCAGTGAGTCAATCAGTCAGTCAGTCAGTATTTCAATCAGTCAGTCACTTAATCCAACAGTCAGCCCATCAGTAATTCAGACATTGAATCAGTCAATCAGTCAGTCAATCATTCAATCAGTCAGCCACTCAGTCAGTCAATAAGTCAATCAATGATTTCATCAATCAATCAGTCAGTCAGTCAATCTGTGTTTCCGTTAATCAATCAGTATATCACACAATCCGTCCAACAGCCAATCAGTCTATCAGTGAATGGCTTAATCAATCAGGCAGTCAATCAGTCAGTCAATCAGCCAGTCACTCAATCCATCAGTCAACCCATCACTAAGTCAGTCAGTCATTGAGTCATTCACTAAATCAGTCAATCATTCAATCAGTCAGTCACTCAGTTAGTTCTGCATGCAATCAATCAATCGATCAGTCATCATCAGTCATCATCAGTCTCATCCGTCCAGCCCATCAGTAAGTCAGTCAGCCAGTCAGCCAGTCACTGAATCAATCCTTCAGGCAATCAGTCACTCAATCAGCCAGCCAGTCAGCGATACATGCTTTACCCCACGCTCAGCATAGCCTCTCAGGGTAAGGCACGCATGCAGGGTACTTGACACACATGCAGCATAATTTGCTAAGCATTTGACAACTTATCTGAACACTCACACGCCCGCATACGCACACCCGCACACATAATTAGCTGAGAAGAGTTTTTGTTTTTAGATAGCGCTGAGGGTTGCCTTAGAGAGTCGCAAGTCGCGTGTTGGGGCCATGTTGACTTTTTCGAGGAGCAACGAAAACTTTGCGGCTGACAAAACGAAAGTCTTGTTGCAACATTTTCTCAAGCTCGTTTCTCTTACATTTATTTTGGGCCCGACACAAGTACTGGCTGTGTGTTCATTGAAGGACAACAACAGGGTCGGACCCCCTATAAAAGTTTTCGACCCAACAATGACACGGCAGCATTTCCATCTTGATGCTGGGCGACTCAAACCAAACAACGCAACACAAGACTTCACATTTTCACTTTAACTTTTAACTTTTCGCATTCCTATTCCCATTTCCATTTAACATCCATTCCCACAACATAGTTTATCGATGACGTAGCATGTGCAATGTAATCGCTTGTCTATCGAATATGCCTGCAGAAGTGTATGCGTGTGTATTTACTTATGTATCTGTAGAGTTGCAAGTTGCTGTAAGCACATATATGTATTCTAAAAGTTTTCTACTCAAAAGTCAAAGTCCTGGACACACATGTCTTGGCTTTTAAACGCTGTTCACTCACTTTTAACACAGTCTCTCTCTCTCTCTCGTTTTGCAACAAATAATAACAACAAAAAAAAAACTATAAATAAACAACAACTACAGCGAATCCAACATTATACGCACATTATGTATTTAATACCCTGGATCAGGATCATAGCGGCATTGTCAGCTTTGAGGTAAGTGATGCATGCTACGAATATGATGAAATATGATTTATCTTGCACAGATTGGAACAGCTATGGGATACAGTTATATGTATGTCATAGTTCGTCGTTAGCAATTAAAAGATCTGTGTGATCGATAAGGCAATATATCGGTATATATAAGGTCGAAAGCGTCTACTTATGTCAGAAGCAACTCAGAAAGTCTTGAGCCTATTGACTCGATTGTCGATATAGATCGAATATATTAAGGATATATCTAAAGTGTACTTAGCAGAGCAACAGATAAATAAACAGATCTATCGATAAGATATCGATAACAAGTCCATATATGTCATTATGTACACATCTGCTAAGGTCGATAAGTCTACAAATCTAGTTAGCAGAGTAGCAGATAAATAAACTGATCTATCGATAATATATCGATAAAAAGTCCATATATGTTATTTGACCTATGATCTAGTTCTATAAGCTCTAGAAGCCAGTTAGTCAAAGATACAAACTTGGCTCTGTTTACGCAGTTTATTCGACAAGTCTTAAACAAGTTTCCTTGCTTTACGCGCTTCGTGATAAAAAGTTGATTTGCCCGATAATGAGCATCAGTGTGGCAAAAGCTAGTAAAAAGCTGAATATAAAAATCAAAGATTCCTTCACACAAAAACGAAGTTCCTCAGGCATTCCGCCACGATGTTACCATAAGCTGTGACCAGTTTAAGTGCAGCAACAAAGTTAAAGAGTTGTTAAAGAGTTGCCGCTCGTTAAATGGGGGCAACGTTGACATTTGGGATGATCTGTGGTAACTACAAATGGAGCTGTGGAACTTAAAGAGTTATGCTCGAGGCTAATTTTTGTCGCAAATGGCACACTTGGAACATTTTAATGTGCCTAAGCACTTGGCAAATAATTCAATTTTAATATACTAAATTATGGAGTCTTGGCCGGCCGGACAAAGGAGCCGAGCGAACTTTCTGCTGCGGGCGGCTCAGTGGTCAGCCAAGTGCGACAAGGCAGCCAAAGCATCCATATCCCCAGCCTCCCAAGAGCAACAAAATGCGCTTAAGTACAATGAAATTACTTTAGACATTTTAAGCATAAAATATGGCTGACAGTTGAGCTGAAACTCCACGACACAGTCGAGTAGCATCATAAGCGTCTTGCTCTACATTGGCCTCCCCCTCCCTCTTCCTCCTCCTCCTCTCTCTCTTTCTCTCTCTCTGTGTGTGTTGGGTGGTTGGCGCCAAATGATGCTGCAAAATGCTCCGAAAAGAAGCAACAACAAACACGGCCACAGTCCTGGCCAAGAAGCGTGTAGTTAGAGCAGCTCATTTAGCTGCGGTTTCCGCAGCACGACAACAACTATGAACCGAACGACTCCCGGTTAAATGTCAGCGCTCTATTAAGTGCTAGCATCCAGCTTCAAGCTGTTCGACGCAAACTTCTGGTTAAACGTTAAGCGTGCAGCCATATTATCAGAGCTTTATATCTACTTCTCGCTGAAGCATGAGTCTGTCTGCCCTCAGTGCTTGCTTAAAGTGTGCAGCTCAAGTTCTTGTCAAGTTTTTAGCATTATTAATGAATCGTCAGTTTGACGGGCAGAATGTGTGTGATTTGCATAGAAAGCGCTTGGATTTGGAAGGTATCAGTGTATCTCTCTCTCTCTCTCTCGCTCTCACTCTCTCTCTCACTTTTCACTTTGCTTCATTTTATTTTTGACATAAGTTATAGCCACAGCTAGCTTTGCTTCTTCCAATTACTCTTTAATCTCTCAGATTAGTCCAATATTTCTTTTATCTCCCACACAGATATCTCTATAATCTCTCACATATCTACAGCTAGCTTTCTTTCTCATAGATATTTTTTAACAATTTCTATATTGAACTTTCTGCTATTAACTAAGTCCTTTGCAGCATTATAGCTACAGAATTTATGCTTAGAGTTGGGAGAGAGATGATATTTCGATGCCTTAAAGTATATATTCTCTTAGTCAATATCAAAAGCTAATCGAGCTGCGTCTCTCTGTCTAATCATATATATAAATACGTCTATTTACAAAGCTGCTTCAATGGCTTACAGCGATTAGCCTCTTTATATAAACGATCCATAATGAAGAACAATAAACAAATTAAATATCAATAAATATAAAAAAAAATTAATAAATAAATAAATAAATATTAAATTTGGTTGGCCAAAAGCTGCACTCAATGCTCACAAAATGTGAAGCTAATAAATTTAAATCGAAGATCTCTGGGTATCGCCTAGTGGCGGCAATTTACTGATGCCCATTTTAATTAGCGACTTTCATCACTTTCTATTTACAGTTGTGCCAAAAGGCAAAGCGCCAAAGGCATGCATAGATCTATATCTGGGCTAAATAGTTAAATGTAATTGAAATTTGCAATTTGGGCAATGCGCACGAAGCAGAAACCCGAGAAACAGGCGCTGTCAGTTGCATTTCCATTGCCATTTCCATTTCTATTTTCGTTTCCATTTTCAGTTCGGGTTTCGTGTTCACTTTATTTCATTTCGCATTGCCTACTTTTTGGGGCGCTGGCGTTTTAGGTATTTGGCTGGCGGGCCAAAGTGGAGCGAACGAAACAAAAGCCAAAAAATCAAGTGAATTGTCTCAAAATTGAAATAAAATGCAGCGCAAGTGGGCGACAAGCGTGCCGAGTGAGGTGGTGCGGGTGGTGCACATGATGCAGTCGCCCATCTCAATCTGCTGTCGCGTGCTGTATTCATGTAGCTGTCGCAGTTGCTGCTGCTGTTGCTGCTGTCATTGTCAACATTTCTATTGCAGGCGAACAAAGCGACGCGAAGAAGTGCAAAACGGAAATCAAATAAATATGCGCATGAAAAGCGTGGCAAATGGCGCTGTGGGCGTGGCAGGCTGCAGGCTGCAGGCTGCAGGCTGCAGGCTGGGAGGCAGCACTTCGCATGCAAATTGCAAATAATTTCTACAATTTTGTTCGCTGCCAACGTCCGTACATGAACTTCACTGGCCACCACAAACGCCACGGCCAACGGCCACGCCTATTGGTTATGCTAAAAATTATATATATGGCAGGCAGCGGGCGGGCGAGCGAGAGGCGCCCAGCACAATGGCAGCACGTGTTCGCTGGCGACGCCATTGAAACGATGAATTATGGCGATTTTAACGCCAACTCGCCGGGGGTGGCCGAGCCAAGACACAAGTGCGATATAAACCAAAGGCAGGCCAAACAAAAGGCAGCCAACTGCAGCAGTTATACACCCAGAGAACACACACACACAAACACACTAGCTGGCTGGCTACTGAGAGACAGGCGCTTATCTGACTGCGAAACGAGGCCCGCCATAAGCTTCGCCTTCGCCTTTGCCTTTTTGCCAGCTCGCCCAGTTTCGTTTTGTGAATAATGACCTAAAATTGTAATGACTACAAGGCACGTTCGCCATATAAACCATGTGCACACACACACACATGCACACACACATGCACACACACATGCACACACACATGCACATGCACATATGTTTACATATGGCCCAGCCTGCTGTGCGTGTGTGCGAGCGAGTGTGTCGAATGACGGCTGACTAAGTAGACTTCCGCTTTTCAATTAAGCTCACATATTGTTGCAAGGTGTTTTATACACGATTTGCACGACATTTCCTTTTATTAAATTGCCAACGTTGCACAACAACAACTCGAACTCGAGTAACAAGAGCATTAACAACATCAATTTAAGTGCAGAACATCGACTAGCAAATGTAAAACGATTTGTTCCTGATTTATGATGATAACGAGAAGGCCTTAGCTCAAATTAACACACACATGAGCCACATACATAGACACATATGCAAATAGCACAGGCACATTTACATGCAGGCAGAGTAATGTAATTAGTTAGAGTAACATTTAGCTCTGATAGCTCTGGTCGAGACTATATACATACATGCACACACATATGTAAATATAGATACACATTACACGTACGCACGCTGCTTACAGCGCAGTTGACGCAGCAGCTGCGCTTGGCTAGCTTAGCTTAGCCTGAGCAAAATTGAACAATAGATGGCGCTTGCAGCGATCTTTGTAAATCAACTTTTCGTTAGGCAAATATTATTCAACTTTGTTTTCAACGCATGTTGTATGTATTCTATTACGCTCATCGCTTAACTCTCACATCTATGGTTAACAAAGATGCGTATAGATAAGTTTAATTAGGGCCCTTCCAGCAAGTTTGTATATTTTTCGTCTTTCTTATGCTAATAAAAATTCAATAAAAACAAAAATTCGTGTACAAATCCGACTCTATAACAAGTTCGATCAGTTTGGCCACCGCTCATTTAGTAATGCACCTTAAAGAACGCAATCCAACGAGTTGTATTCGTGTGCTTTTGACTGCACGCATTTGTCAGCGTCTCTGGCTGCAACGCTCAAAAGTAGGCAACGATTTTTTTACTTTATTTTTACTTCTTATTTCGTGTTGGTTTGTTCTGTCACGTTTCCTGCACATTGATAAATTAGCCAAGCGAACTCTGCACTTGTCCAAATGGGGCTTAATGGGCTGCAGCAAATGTTTCGCAAATACAAATAACCAAACACGTTTTGCACTGGTCGCGAGCAGTGCTAGACGCACAGATACCCTGCATTTCCATCTAGATTAAGAAACTTTTGAAACTAAGCAAGCACTTTGATCTAGAAGCAGCACTGCTGTTGTTGACCTGCTTATATATATTACGAGGGTATAGGAACACACAACAAGACCCGCCATTCAGCCATTCAGCCATTCAGCTTGAATGCCTCCCTCCTCCCTCACGCTCCCTTGTCAGGCAGACAGCGATGCTGCGGCACATAGTTGTAGAACTTTTTCCACTTGCCAGTTCTTATCTAGGCACATTTGTCATACGAATCACTGAAATAAATGTCCACTTCAGCAGCAGCTTAAGTTCGGGTAGTCCGTGTAGTCTCCAGCTGCTGCTGTCTGCGGCCAGCTGCTGGTCAGTGCTCGACTTAAGTCGAGTGCTGGCAGCCTCTTATGGGCTATTCTTTATAAACAGATTTCCAATTTCTTTTCGCCGTTCGCGTCCGAGTGTCTTGGTATCTGCGGCTGTATCTCTCTATCTGTCTCAGTATCTGAATCTGTAATGTATAATGTGTAATGTGTATTTATGTTGGCATATTTTTCATTTACAACAGGACTTCGTTCAAGGACTTTCGATACTGTCGCGCGGCTCGGTGGAGGAGAAGCTACGCTGGACATTCTCGCTGTACGACATCAACGGCGACGGCTTCATTACGAGGGAGGAAATGACTGACATTGTGACTGCCATATACGAGCTAATGGGTCGACTGCCGGACGAGTGTCCCGAGGAGGAGAAGATCAAGGGCAAAGTGGAGCAAATCTTTCAGGTGAGTGCCCAAACGCACAGTGCCAGTTCCCGTTTCAGTTTCAGCTTCAGTTCGAGTTGCCTCAGCCGCCCATCAAGCAACTCCAGCTGCCAGAGCAGAGAGATGTTCGCATTACTTATGTTAATTATGCAATTTCAATTTGCGCTCGCCTCAAACTGTCGGCTTATTTACTCTGCATTATGCAAATCAAATTATGTATTTCTTTGTTGGCCATTTCGCCAGCCGGACACATTCAATGGACATAGTCATCAGGCTGTCTATCGCATAGATCTCTCCCCCTCCCTCTCCGTCCGTCTTTCCGGAGTTCGCTTTGCTTGCCAGTCACGCATTGTCATTAGCGGCTAAGGTCCTGTTGAATGCCCCATCTTGGCCCTTATCCAGATGCTGCAAATGGCAAAGGAAGCGGCAAATGCGAGCACACAGCTAGCTAGCTAGTCGCATACATGGCCAGATATTTATCATTATTATCCTGAGCCTTAAAGCACGCTGGCCCATATTAAATTTAAGCTTAGCTACTCGAGGCGGCCCAGACTGTTAGGCCCGAGAAATTGACAGAAATGCAGTTAATTGACTTGTTCCTCTTGGCCAACAAAATTGATAGTATAGAAATTGGTATTATGCTCAGTCATGAAGTTAATTCAATTGAAATTTCGACTCTCAGAAAATGGACATCAATCGGGATGGCGTTGTGACGCTAGAAGAGTTTTTGGAGGCCTGCCGGAATGATGATGCCATATCCAGATCGATGTCTGTCTTTGATACAGCATTCTGACCATATCCGACTGACAAGGGCGATGAGTATACGGTGCGGCGACTGCGACGTAGCCGGAGTCAGCAGCAGAAACAAAAGCAACAGCAGCACAGCAAACAGCAAATGGAAACTGAGAAACGTAAGTCAAACTACAAGATGAAACAACAACAACAACAACAACAACAACAACAACAAGAACAAATGCAACAAATACATAGCACAAGACACCAGGCGGCAGCCAAGTGCTGTCATGTCATTGACATCGATGGCGCCAGCACAACAACAATAACAACAACAACAACAACAGCAACAACAACAACCAACTGCACTAGCAACAACCACAACAACTACAAAACTAATCACAGGCCACGAGCGCTGAAAAAGCGCGTCATCGATGACTCCGATGAGGATGAGGACGACAACCACAACGACGACGATGATGATCACGATGAGGACAATGACGACGACGACGATGATGATGATGAGGATGAGGATGAGGATGGGGATGACGCCGATGAGGAGGAGAAGGATGATTACGAAACTGGGAGACAGCCGCTAATGGGCAACGCTCAACGCAATCAATCCATGTGCCGGCACTGCCAACGACCCCAAACGGAGCTGCATTCGCGCCAGTTGCCGGCGCTGCGTCTGCGCAAAGCCCAGTCGAAGTCGCGACAGCGCAAGCGCAGCAAGAGCAGGCAGCGCCATCATCAGCATCAGCATCAGCATCAGCATCTGGATGCACGTGCCAAGCCGCGCTGGCCGGAGTTGAGCGTTGCCAATGAGCTGGCCATACGCTTTCGCTGTCCGCAGGTGGGGCCGCAGGTGGGTCGCGATCTGCATACGCCGCAGCCCATGCATTTCCATCATCCCCAGCAGCTGGGCCAGGGTCAGCACCAGGCGCCGCCCAAGCCGGCCAAAAGTAAAAGCAAGCACAAGCAGCGCATGCAGCGTAAGCAAGCGCAGCTAGCAGCTGCACCACCCAAAGCAGATGTTGCAGCAGCAGCAGCTGCGGCAGTAACGCCTGCACCACCTGCCCCGCCACTGCCGCCGCCCAACGGCCTTGTGGCGCAACCCTTGGATAGCAATGAGCTGGCGGCAGGTCATGGCAACACGGAGCTGCCCCACACGCCAGACTCGCCCTCGCTGGTAACGGTCAGCACTTGGTACACGGTGGCCAAGCAGGGCGTCTCCTGCTAATAGGCATTTACATATTTCTAGTTGTTGACTGCAGTCAGTGAGTACCTTTGATATCAGCATTACTATTTCCGAGACTTGGGTCTCCCCAAATGCATGCAACAACAACAACAACAACAACAACAACAACAACGGCAACTCCCCTCTTTATGCTCTACTATATGGAAATTCCTGAGCGCAAAGAGAGTTTTTTTTAGGTTGAAATTGCAACTGCAAGTGTTTAAATTTATAAGATTTGCATACAATGTACTTACTTATACATTTGATGTGGTTATATATATATATATAGATATGTGCTGTTTTTTCCCCTCTACTTAGACTTAAACCATAGAACAGAAAATAAAAAAAAAATGAAGTTCCCAAAGCTATGTGTATGTTAAATCGATGTTAAAATAATTGTAAAATGTGTTATAGTGATAAAAAGAAAAGGAAAAAAAGTTAAGCAAACAAGAACTAAATTAAACTCAATTGTATAACGGTATACTATGCTAGCTATATAATCTAAACTAATTTTAATCAACAGATTCAGACCGAACAAAAGAAAAGAAAACCAAAAATAAATGTAAAATCTGATTTAAATGTTTTTGTGTTTATTTCCCTTTTGCGTTTCACAATTGGCGGTAAAGATTCCATAAAACAATTAAATATTTAATAAACAAAGTTAGTTATCATAGTTAAAAAAACAAAAAAAAACCAAAAAATTGACGTTAGCTGTGATGAAAATTAAAACTACTTTAAACTGTTAAAGATAAAGGAAACCAAGACCATGCAACTAGCAACTAGAAAATCAAAGGTGTACTACTTATTAACCTACTTAATCGATAAGAACCTACTAATTTGCTCAATAGCCTAAACGAACGAGCTAATATACGAACGACTACTCCATGACAGCTCTAGCTGTGCTCTGTCAGATGTGCATGTAACTGTATATGTGTGTGTGTGTGTGTGTGTGATGTGTGTGTGTGATGTGTATGTGTGTGTGTCTTATTTTGACATTTTATAATATTTTCATTCTTTGATTCTTAAGTTATTTAGCGCTTTTGTATGACGTGAGTACAGTAGATATTGATTATATGGAACTATCAAATGAATAAACAAAATATTAAAAAAAATTGTGTACTTAAATCTAATAGAATATTTTTATTTTTTAGCTATAATTTTAATTTTAAATTTTAATGGTACAACTAAAAATTAAAATAAAAAAAATAAAAAATCAGCTTAAATTTAAATTGACATATTGCTTCGATCCGATAGACTTACTGCTCGAACAGCAAGACACACGTGCAAAAATAGTTGAAAATGTCTAGGTCAAGGGTCAATGGAACGAAGATATATACAACAATTTATTGAAATTCAACAGTTCATAATTGTTTTATTGCATTTTCTCTTTGATCATCTAAATGTTGTTTCAAAAAATTAAAAAAAAAAAAAACATGTTAAAGTCGATGATGCCCGACTGCATAATGCTCGTTTACCTTTAGAGAACTTATGTTTTCCGAATCAAATATATATACTACTATTTTTATGAACATTACTGTATGTATGTCATAGATTGTAAAGAAGAGAATAGCAAAATAATCCCGTTACTTTCGTTACTATTATGGGTTTATAGATCTATATATAAAGCAGCCTAACGAAACACTCACGAAGCACTGAGAAGTCGAACGAACTTTCCTATTTTGAATGCAAACGGCAGGCATTAGGAACTACTGACACGACTATATATATGCTCTACCGTCAATAAGGACAAATTGATATGCCTTAATTCAAATGAACAGATAGGCAGACAGATAGACATTGCCCATACTTTATAAGCGCTTCGTACAAAGTGAACGCGTCGAAATTTGAATGTGTTTTTACTGTGCCCAAAACATGCATTAGTTAACTGTAAATATACACGAGTGTGTGTGTGTGTGCTTGCTTGTATCTTGCATATGTGTTTACATGACTTGCTCTGTGTTTGTATTTGTATTTGTATTTGTTGAAGTGTCATTAAGACCAAAGCAATTAGAGCTCAACTGAGCCACAGAGTAAAAGGAAGAAAAATAGAATAATGAATGCAGTTGCTCGTTACCTTTTGCTAACTGTTATTGCAATTGTGTTTTAGTATATTTGCTGATATGATTTTTTGGTTTTTCTTTACTGCTACAATGAACACACACACACACCTGGACAGAAGTGGACACATATACAGATGCATGAAATTGAAATTCTTGTATGCCAATTAAAATATATGTTTTCTTCTTTCTTTTTCTCTCTTTCCATCTCTTTCTCTATCTTTTACGTTCTGGCTGTACTGCTCGTTGCTGCTGCTCGACTGCTTGAAATGCTGGCGCACACTCACACACACGCACACACAATCACACACAGAAATTTGCATAGCAACAAAATGATATATGAGCGAGTGAAATCGAACGCGAATTGTCAAACTACCTACGAAAAGGCCATAAATATGCAATTATTTTCGAAAAGTGTGGATGTGTTTATGTTTTTCACTTGTGCTACATACACACACACACACGTATATATGTATAACCCCACAGCTATTCTATTCTCAATTTATGTCAATTGCATTCAAAGCCAAAATTTCATTTGGCCATTGCGATTGATTGCCATAGCATATATACAACACAAACACACACACATACACATACACACACATACACTCCTATATATATATATCTAAATCTGTACAATTTCTAATTGTCTCGGCTCGGTTCTATTCAGGCGCCCACAAAAGTATGCAACAGAATTTTCAACGACAAATGCATGCGTAATGAAAGCTTTAGACCAACCAACAAAACTAACGGTTAAACAAATATTAAAAAAAAAATAAAGAAGAGTAATACTAAAATAAAAAGACAAAACTATAATAACTAACTTAAGTAGAGAAACAAAAACATATTTTGTTTAAAGAAATGAAACTGAAGAAACAAAGAAATTTTTTTTTTTTTTTTAGGCTGGTAAACAATACTAGGCTAAAACGAACTACCAAAACAAGCTCGCCAACTTTCAACAGTCAAAATTTTAGTTCACTTAACTGTGCTAATTAAATATAAAAAATAAAAAAATTGAAGTTAGACAAGACGAAGAGGCAAAACAGCAAGAAAAATGAGAGCTCAACTATACGAAGCCTCAATGAAATTGGGGTCTATTGGATGTACTAAGCCACATGCAAATAGTTATCTAATTTACATTTCAGTCAAAGATTATATGACTCATAAGCATATATGAATATGAACTATCAAAGTTTCTTAATAAGTGTTAAATTAAAATGAAGAAAAAAAGAAATAAAATGATACAAAACTCAGACGAGATAAAGCTAAATATATATATGTGGATATATGTATGTGTGTGCGTAGGTGTAAAATCAAATGATAAATCAATGTTTTAAAATCAGAAATTGGACCAGCAAAATAATGCAAAACAAAAAAAAATGAGTATTAACAAAATGAAAAAGCAAATCAAATGCTTAGCTCTAGTTCTTCTATTCATGATTAAATTAGGCAAACTCTGTATATATGTATACAGACATACAATATACAATATATGTATGTTTGCAATTACGATATTTATCAAATACTGAATATATATACATATATATATGGATGTATTGTATTTTATAGATAGTCATAAGACACACAGAAACACTCACAGCAATGGATTGTAAATAGTTGATTGTTAAGATCTTTGAATTTGCCGAACTGGTCTAACTACAATATACATACATAGTCAGACTCTACTGGTATGTGCACGTACAGCTATCTATGTATGTGCACAGCCACACACACACATGTACTTAGCTATAGTCTTCCAACAGCCTTGACCTTTTGGCCTGACCGAGGCGAGAGCACGAACCAGAGAGAGACAGGGAGAGAGAGAGCGAGATAGTGCAAAATAATTTCCACTTAGACAACCTGTAGCAAATTGGTACCTTAGCTGAAACACCCAAAGAAAAGCTTTCAACTTTACAACCGAAAAAAAAACATACTAAAAGAAAAACTTTTTCTGCACAAAGTGCAATTGTTAAACGAAAAGAAAAACAAATGAACAAAGATAAAACATTAAAATTACACTAAACACAACAATGTCCAAAACATTAAACAATAAATGTTAATCAAAAAACAAAAAAAAATTAATAATAAAAAAGCAACAGAAGAAGAAGCAAAAACGAATATTTAAGACATTGGAAAGATAAAGCAAGAAAATAGTTTAAAGAATGTGTAGAGAAAACATATTGTATTATTTTTAGATAAATGTTGCAGCAGTACGAAATATTACCAAAAAGTTTGCATCTTGCTCGAAACTGATACCAAACGCGTTGGTCTCTAACTATCCATGTATTGACACTTAGAACCCTACACTCCTTCACAACTCGAACTACTAAAACGAATACGAAAACCAAAACTAAAACAAAAACTAGGCAAGAAAACGTTTGCCTCTATCTATATTAGGTATAATTACTTTTTCAAATCTATGAATCTAACTAGCGAATACTTTACTTCTTTGAATCTATCATTGGTTTCTTGTTATCAAACTTTAAATAATCAAACAATAAGCGTAGCATCCACCTTTGATGCCCAGCTATATGTAGACGAATTGTTGATAACTCTAAGCGGATCATGACAATATGCCAACTGCTGAAAGTAACCCACACAATGCCAATTCACCCACGTTCAACCACCTGACCCACCCTAGCGAGACTTCAGTCTAACCTCTGATCCCCGCTGACCCCCTACCAACAACAATCTGATATCTCTCTCACACACTGTCGTTGAGTATAATAGAGAATTTCAGCTTAACGTTTTATGCTCTCGAGAATGCTTGGCCAGCTGAAGGTTACATGTTGGACCAACTGTTTGTTCTTCATTCATATTACATCAAATGTAAATGCAAAGAGAATTCAGCTCCCACTTGACAGTTGTTGTTTCTTTAGCTATTCCACTGAAATATGTGCGAGTTTTATTCAGAATTTTTTATATATAGATTCTATCGAAGTACAACTGAACAAAAAGAAGTGAGCATACTTTAGTCGAGTGGGTCTGACTAGAAGATACCCTGAACTGTCCATTCAAATGAGTGTTCAAGGCAGATATTGAAGATATAATACGAAACAACTAAAGTTTCATATCTGATTTAATTAGTTTTATAGAAATTCACAGAGCTCTCAATGAGTGAAACCGCGAAGCGCCATCTATGTGCTATAGGCGGAACTAAGAGATCAAAGCTCTAGCTCTTGTAGGTTCAGGATTGCAGACAGACGGCAGGTCGGGTTGAGGGATTAGACAGACGACTGAGCTCGTTGCCTTAAACAGCCACG